GGTTCATAGTCACAATGCTCTATCCATAGATTATCAGGTCATATTTTTAAAATCAGGAAAATTGTTTGGGTATAATATCTGGAAAAAATCCGGAATATACTTTCCCTTATATTCTTATTAATTTTGTTTTAGCTGAGTTGTTTCCAATATTTTTTCCAAAATTTTCTTAATTTTTGCATCAGTGGTAAGTGAAAAAGCTTAAAAAACAAATATATTACAAAAATATACACCTAAAATTGTATGTATGGAAAACATTTTGGATATTCGGAAAAACTACAAGTTACAAGAAAAATATCCGGGAGTTCCGGAAATATCCAGAAAAAGATAATCCCTGTCTATGTATATCTTGATAAACCTATTACTCTAATTACCCATGTTATGTGTATTTCACAAACCTTTTTATATATGAAAATATTAAATATCACTTAATTAGATATGGAAAAGGTTGTACTAAATAAGCAAAACTATAGTATACACTATATAGCAACATGTTATAGAGGCTGCAAAAAAAAATAAAGCAGTAGGTGTAATCTATATCTAAATGTACAGATGATTGCAGATTTACTTTCAAGGAATATGTTTAAGTATCCGTAACAATATATATGCACATGTCCATGAAATGTATGAAATGCACATTTCTATATGAAAAGTGCATGAATCTTGACAATGACTTTGCCCAAGAGTATGTTGCTCGGTTATCTTTAGGGTGGACTCTATGTGATGGAGTATTCAATTTGCTTAGCACTCCAGCAGTAGAATACATTTGCAAAGAGTCATTAATTGATATCCCTGTGGCAGAAATGAAGAATTTTTAGAAAACACCTAAGACAGCTAAATCAGTAGCTGGGTTGTTCAGTTATTATATTTAAACTCTTTTTAAGTTGTTAGTAGTGATAGACAATTGTTTAAATCAAGTAAATGCACTGATGGTCGCTGTAATTAAATATCAAGAGCTTGCAAATAGCCACAATAAAATATTAGCAGTTTTTATGACAAATTGCAGCCCTATTAACAACCATAGTAGAGTTGTTATATTGTATGTTGTATATAGTCATTATGTTTGACCAGTTTAGACCTAACTAATATTTAGTTACTCAGGAAGTTGTCCTCTTGTAAATATTCTACAATTTTTAGATATCCTTTTTCATGTAGATATTTAATGGTCTTGACCATATCTGGCAGCAACCTGTAAGCCATTATCATAATTGTTATATCTATTTTCCTGGGCATACTTCGATACATTTAGATTACCATTTCTGACTGCTTTTTTGAAAACTACAGACCACATGTTTGGTTTTGAATAAATACTTAAATATTTCACTTATTGTTAAACATGTTCTTGAACTCATATTGATGATTTGATGACAACTTTAATATATCAATAATATATCTTTCTCTAATTGATATATATCAATAATATATCTTTCTCTAATCTTATCTCTAATTGACCTCCATATATTTTTGCACACATTAAGCAATCAAGGGCTGACTTTACTTCTGAAAACTTTGTATATTTTTCTGTTTAATATTTTTAGAGCTAAGAATTTTGTAACTATTTACTTTATTAGGATGCATTTTTTCATTCCAACTTAGTACTTTTAAAAGTAGGTTTTACAGCATAATAACTTCTCTCAACATCAAGAGAAGAGTGAAAGGTTTTGAGTTGAAGGGATTTTGCTAGAAGTGTGTAATCGTGTTAGACCTGTTCTAATTAATAATAGACAGAATAGGGTTGTGAGGTAGAGTAAAAAATTGAATTAAAAAGAGTCTTCTGACCCTTCCCATTCTGATTTACTACTTACTATCGCCACTCTTTGAAGTCTGAAAAATAAAATCATTATTTCTCAATCATTATTTATTGAACTTGTGATGAAACCTAGAGGTTCCAATAAGTTTGTCACACAACTTTTATTTTTAACAAATCCATATTGATGTTTATTGATTAACTTGTGATTTTTTTACAATTTATTTTAAATTATCTTTTCCATAACTTTACAAGCTACAAATGTCAAAGATACAGGTCTAAAGTTGCTCTTGTCTAATTTGTTGCCATTTTTAACAGTGGAGTGATATTAGCACATGGACATAAATTTGGGAGTTTACTTATTTCAAACTGTTTATTAAACATCTACAATAGTGCTTTAGCTAAAGTGGATTTGCACTTCTTTAGAACTATTAGGTGAACTGTATCCCTTTGCTTTATTATTCTCCAACTTGCTTAGATGTTCCTCTACAACAGATGTATTGAAATCTCAATTTTAAATCTGTTTATATTTTTAAACTTGTTTATATTTTTGTACCTATGATTAGAACAGATGAAGCTTGTAGTTTATTGAATACCCATGGAAAATATCCATTCAATATATTTACATTTACTTTTAAATCAGTTTTGATGCTACCATTTTTTTGGTTAATAATAATTATGCAACCACTTAAACTTTGATCTTGATTATATTAAAAATCTTTAATTAATTGATTCACCTTTTTTTCAGTTTTGTTTAACTCTTTCATTTTGCAAGAAAAGAAATGTCCTTTAAATTTCTTCCTTCTACATTTGAATGAAAGTTTTTTTTTTCAACAATGCTTTTAATTCTTTATTTGTTCAGAGAGGACTTGTGTTAGTTTGAATAGTTCCCAGTTATTACCCTATTTTATATTGGCATAGCCAATTTTTGTAACATTAATTTCAAAACCCTTGAATGGTCATGGTCCTAGTTTCAAATACAAAAATAATTCATTAATATCACTCAATTGTAACTAAATTTGTCTTTTTTTAATACAATGTTGTCAATACATTCTTCATTATTATTGCTAAATTTAATGTGATGATCATGGTTAATAACTCCAAATGGCAAAAGATGTAAAGATGATAGTTTATAAACACGGTTTTTATTCTCAGTTACAATTAAATTTAGCACATTTGTTTCATCCCTATTGTTATTTTTTCAATCACATTCTGATGTATAAACAAATTGTTTAAACGTTCTTAAAAAATTTTGGCTGGACTATCATGTTCATTAGTAAGTTTTCAGATTCATTAGCCAAAGTAAATCTCTGTACCAACTTATTGTGTGGTACTTAAAATCCATACAAATAAGGATTCCAGCATATTTATTTAATAAGTTCACACCCTCCTCCTTCTCTACAAACACCTCTGTTTCTTCTAAGTAGTTCTCACTGATGTTTACTGACTCATCATTCCAACAAGTTTTACAAATCATTACGACATTTTGAGTTAATCCCAAATTGTTATTAAAAGCATACCGTTTTTTGATAATGAAACTGACATTTCAAATTTTTATCTTCTATTTTATTTATTCTATATTTTATTTTTTTTAAGTCTATATTTTGAATTTATCTATAAGATCATGGAACTTATTTGGTTAGAGTTGACAATTAGTCAAAGCTTGGCTTATCCTATCTTGGTGCCTAGCGGGCAAAGATGTCTGGGAGATGTCTATACAATACCCTAAGGATGTTAAAAATCCATAGGACATCCTCAAGACATCCAACAGACGTTCTGTGTTTGCTGGGTGAGAAGCAGTTATTTTAACAGCTGTTGTGTATAACATGTAGGCTCTTTCGGTGGAACCGTTTAAATGCTTTTGGATTAGAGTTATTACAGAAGACACTATTCTGTATAAAGCCCTTCCAATTGCTAGTCCAACACTTGCTATAATTCTGATGATAAAGGTTGCTAATAATTCATGACAACTGTTAGGAGACATAAGTACAGACAGAGGCTGCAACTAAAAGTTTACTTACATTTTTTTCTTTTCGCATCATTGCACAGTAATCACCTCAAGAATGTATGTTTTTACTGCCCTCTAGATTAATTTGTTTGAAATTGTTATTAAGACAGCATATCTGAAATTATTGATGTTGTTAGTGTTGATGGTAAAATGTTCATGCTATGCAAGATTGAGTCTGCACAGCATGAAGATTTTACCAATTGTGGAATCAAAAAAATGTTCATACTGCTGTTGTTCAGACATTAACAGTAGCTATTATTTATCCTTTAATTGGCTTACAGGTTTCAAATGCTAGCATGCCTTTGTTACTGTTTATTAGTTACAGATCTGCTTAGTTACAGATCTAACTTTTAAGGTAAAGATAGAAGTAATTAGCAGAAATGTTTAAAATAAAATTAAAATAGTTTAAATAAGGAATGCATAGGATCAAACAACAAAGCTTGAATGCATTAATAATATTTAGGTGCAATTCAGTATCTTTTTTTTTATTTTTATTTATATGTTTTTTATTTTTACAGCTAAGTGTTTCAAGAATACTGTAATTTTAAAATATTGAAAAAAAAATTTGCATTTATGTTAAATTAAGATTTTAAATATTGAAAATATCCCAATAATAATTTGTAATATAATTTCATTAAAGTTGGTATTAACTAAATTTATAGTTTTTATTATTATCTTTTTTTCTATTTTGCTTTTTTATTTTTTTATATTTAAAAAAAAATGACTCAACAATCCCTGGGCATTGTTTGGGTTTATCATCTAAACACAGTTCACTTTCTATTCCTCAATGTGATTTGACACCTGTTTCAGTCACACTGCAAGTCGTACTTATATATGTTTTTTATAGCCTTCATGGTTTGTATATTCATACATTTATGTGTGTAAAAGATTTTTGAAGTGCATTGCTGCTTAAATAATTAAAATAAATATAATTTCAAAATATTTAATTAGTTTCAAGTAGTATTGAAGACTGAATATGTTTTAACTATATTTAAACTATAATTTGAGTTTTGAAATAATTTGAAAATTGCTATGTGGCTATTTGAATGAAAAGAATCTAAATCAAAACATTTCAACACCTTGTTGCTGTTTTTTAGTGTTAAAAACACTAAACGGGATAAAAATAATTTAAAAAGTTGTACAAAAATTCAAAATTATTTAGCAAAGTTTTGTATTAATATTTGCATCACATCTTTTTTTTTTTTATTTGTTATATTTATTTGCACTTTATTCCTTATTGTTTAATAGAAATGACTCAACAAAGCCTGGTCATTGTTTGGGTTTTTCATCTGATCGCAGTGCATTTTCTATTCCTCAACGTACTTTGACACCTGCTTCTGCCACATTACAAACTTTTCTTATAAATCTCTCTCTATTTGTTTCAACTTTATTAGGAAATGAGAAGGTTTGAACATTTTTAATGTTTTTTACAAAAAAAATTATAATAAGGGTAGTTGTTTTTTTTATATGTGTTTTTCCATATTTGTTTTTCTTTAGGAGGTTTGTGAATTGGTCCATCCGCGAGTTTCTGCACTTCAATTGAAAACTTTTTTTTTGGCACATTTAGAAAAAGATTTTGTTCTTTTGTCTAATATTATTGCAAAAACAGATGATGAAATAAATACTGTAATACACTTGTTATTCAAATGGTTGTTAGATTGTAATTTACAAGGTTGTCAGAATTCTAGTTTTCTTGATTTGTTTAGTAGAGGTTTTATTGAAAAATTTTCGATTCTGTGTTGAACTTTGGTTTTACAATTTAAAATATTTTTTAGACAAACTTTTTGAATTAAAAGATCAAGCATCGCGCAACCAATATGAAAACACTTTTCATCAAACAGTTGTTCAACCATTTTTTTGTGTAAGTTATTATTTTTTACTTGATTAATGATACCTAAAACCTTTGACTGATTTTTTACAAGTCAATCTTGTTTTATATTACTTCTGAGTCATTCTTGTAAGTACATTAAATTTAAAGACATAAAATTTTGTAGGCTAAGCATAAGTTTTTTTTTAGTATAGGTGTCAACCTCCTAAGTGACTAGCATATGTGTTATGCTAAATTGCTTAATACATGGCCTACTATAATTACATGGCCGGATATCTTGCTTATCAGAGCAAAAAATTGGAAGGGTAACTTTTAAAAAACAAAAAAATTATATAGCAAGATTGGCCACAGTTACCGCAATTCAAACTATAGTTTTTAAATTAGATTTTATTTATGGAAGTGTGTATATTATAAAAAATTTGTCCAATATAATAAAAGTTTGATAAAATAGGAACTTTCCATTGTCTGATGATTATGTTTCTAAAAAAAACTTACACACCCCTGAAATAATAAAATATATTGTACTTTTTAAATTTACTTATTATATTGTACTTAGTTCATCAATAAAAAGTTGTAATAACTTTATTAACTTGAAAATGTACCTTATATTGTATGTGTGTGTGTGTATATATATATATATATATATATATATATATATATATATATATATATATATATATATATATATATATATATATATATATATATATATATATTTAATCATTCACCTCCCAAAGGCCCGAGGGGGCCACTACAGTCGAGGAGGCTACTACTTTTTTTTTTTTTTTTTTTTTTTTTTGGAAATTGTGGTACAACCCTCTCTCAACTCTTTAACTCCGAAACACGAACCTTGACAAGCAAGGCCACGGGAGAAATTAAGTTGAGCGCGGTACTTCCAGGGACATGGTGGGAGTCGAACTCTGAACCTCTATATATATACATATATAACATATATTTATTAAATGTAAAATAATTCAGCTGTATAATTTAGCATAGATTACTTCTATTCAGTTCAGCTTGATTAATTAGTTCAACTAATTTAGCTTCAATCTTTGTTATATTTAAAATCTTTTACACTGTTCTTTCAAATTTTATTAGAAAATTGTTTCTGTTCATTATTAAAATAAATATTTTTAACAATGTGATTTACAAATTTTACACCAATAGTTTAATGTTCGTTGCATAAGAATGAAGTAGTACAATTATTTAAACCATTCTGCAGCATATTGATCACAAAGAGTTAAGTCTCTTATAAGAAAAATAACAGTATCTAATATTGCAAATGCTTTTGCAACATAATGTGTAAAATGTTTGGTGAAGTTCCTAGAAAAAATATGTGTCCCACACACCCAAAGCTGTAATATAGCCATTTAGGTTGACACATTGAGCAAGTTTTGATTGTTGGTAAATAATAAGTGTAAGTATAATATAAGTTAAAGATAAAAAAAAAGATATTGCAACGACTATTCAAAACGAAGTATGTCAGAAAAAGTTTTAAAAAAAAAGGCATGCTGTTATCGCCACTTGTTTAAAATGTTTTAAAATGGAGTTGATTTTGCTACACCGGTTTCACTTTGCTTACGGTTTCACCAACTTCACCAACTTGCAACATAATGTGTAGCTGGTAAAATCAATTTTCCACGAGAAAATTTTTCTAAATAATGGCATTGTACCTCACAGTATCAGAAAATAGAAAAAATTAACTAGCATCAACTAAAATCTTGTTTTGTTGATTAAATAATTGGTTATAAAAATATTCTATGAAATAAAAAATATTTAATAAAAACAAATTTTATTTTGCTTACTTTCTTTTTATAAAATAAGCAAAAAAATCTTGCTTTATTTATAAAACAATACTGTTTTTTTGTTTTTTAAATTTGTTTTTGTTTTCTAATTTTATTTAAGGGAAGTTTATTCACTAATTTTATTTACTTTAGACTTTAAATGATCAGTTAGAATCCTACAACAAGTGTTTATTGACAGATCAATGTATAACTAATAGTCCTTTGATGAGACATATTTATGAAATTGATGACAAACACGTTAGTAAGGATTCCTCTATGACACTTATGAGTCCACACCTTTGGTTGTACAGAGAGTCAGTTTCAGTTGAAAGTCTTAAAAATTTTGTTCAACATAAGGTTGCTACTGGTGCTGCTAAAGACATTCCAATTCTTGTGATGATTTTTGAGCAGGTCTACATGAATATAAGAATATAATAATGATTTTTTTAGTTAATATTTGGAGTTTTGTTTAAATATTTTGATTTACAATTGAAATTATCAATAAAGTATACTTTTAGGAATTAATACTTACCATGATTAAAGATTTATCATCAATATTAGAGCTTCAAAGGTTTCTACAATACGAGTTTAACTACAAGCTAGACAAACAAACTGCTGTCGAAAAAAATGTCAAGGAGGTTCTTAGAGAATTCCCAAAAAGCAAGCTTTTTTTAAATTTTTTTTGCTCTTTTACTTTTATAAAATATTTCTGATGTAAAATATCTTTATTTTTTTTTAATAAGAAATTCGAGCTACATTACAAAAGCTATTCGTTTGTTTTATCAAGACATGGAATGAGTCGCGTACCCATTTTACAGGTTGTTAAACATTTTTACATATTATTTTACATATTTTACATACACCTATTTTACTGGTTGTTAAAAGTAATTTATCTTATATACAATATTTTAAATAAAGTTTTAGTTTTTTAGTCATAGTTTTTAAATTTAAGTTCAACTCTAAATTGTTAGCATTATAGTGAAGAGTAGAGCGAGGCATATGGGGACAGTGGGGCATAACAGGACACTTATGTCTGAAACCTTATCTCAGCTAAGTAAAAAAAATTTTTTTTTGATAAAACGTTTTAAATTATTGTGCTTCCTTATTAAAAAATAAATTTAGTTTTAGAAATACTGAAATGCATTAAAGGTACCAAAATGCATCAGTAAGATTGCGAAAACCAAATTGGCGTGTTTTCTTAAGTGATACAATCACAAAAGATTTATCTTGAACTATTGCTAATTTGCTTTATTTATAAAACGTTTATATTTTTCAGACAGTATTTTTTATCCTTTTTTAGAATCTGGTTTTAAAAAAATATCTGCAATTGAACTTTTTAAATAGTAATAATTTCACTAAAATGACTTTTGTGGGATATATTGGCACAATAAGTTATTTTCATAGAATTGACTTTATTATTACCATTTCGTGATGCTATTTACAGTTTGATGATTTTATTTTTAATTGAAAATATCATTTTCCTTATTTAGAAAAGCAATATAAATAATAAATTCAAAGAAATTGTTATTTTCATTACTTAACTTTATTGTTATTTTCATTACTAATTTTTCTTATATAATTTCTTAACTTTGGTAAGAAATTATATAAGAAAGATTAATCATCCAAAATGGGATGAAGTGCAGTATTAGCTGTGAGTAATAAGGAACTTAGAGTTAGAAAAGGTGCTGATACATATGGTATATTTAAATTAATTCTAACATATTGCTTAACATATTGCTTAACATATTAACATATTGCTAATAAGTCAGATCATTAAAAATGTTACCAAATAGTTTCAGGATATTTTTTGTGTGATTTATGTTATCTATAAAATTTTTTGTTTAATTTTAAACTTAGTAGTAGTTACTAGTATATTGATTTATAGATTAGGGTAGAGCGTAGGTATTTTATAATAAAACACAAAAAGTTTTTTTTTGTTATAGTTGTTATTTCTTTATTGTCGTGTATGGGCATGTATTTTATATGGGTATGTTACTTTTTTTAAAAAGTTCAGTCTGAACATAGATAAACTTTATTTTTTATCATTTTTAAAGTTTTACAATTAACAAATAACTGCTGCTTTTTAACTGTCCTGTTTTTCCCCACCCGCTTGCAAAATGTAAAAATTTTGCTAGTTTAGAGTTTTGTTACTTTTGTTGTCGTAACTTATTTTTAAAAAAATTTTTTGTTTTTTTTTTTGTTTTCTTATATCAATGAATTTTAGGAAATTTATAAAAAACAGTGTTGATTATGATTAGTTTATCCGCAACTAGTATTTAAGTGTCCCTATATGCCCTACCCACAAGCTATTAAATTTACTAAAATTTATTTTTATTTGGTTTAGCGAGGCAAATGAAATTAGATCATAATCTTCATTCCATAAAACTTGATCTCAACAGCAAGTTAGCTTACTTTATAAGTTCAAACTCTGATCATGGCTTGTGTGCTGCAATGTTAATAGATTTTCTTGCTTCTAAACAGAACGAACTTCTACTAGAATGTCAGTTGAATAATAGTATTAATGTTTTTCAGCGACTTCACATAACTCATTTAAAAGAAAATAATATAATATTTTATGAGAGAGATCGCGATCTTCTTCCATTAGTCTACAAACATTGTGAATATTCTCTTGATATGGGTAGATCTCCAAAGATTGAATACAATTTGGACACAATTCAAAAACGACTTTTAGAAAATGTGATTTTCGGAAAATCAATTATTGACATCGAAGTTATTCAATTCTTATTCAGAGATGGATTAAAAAGTCTTAACTTTCCATTACTGAGAAGTAATGTAAAACAAGTATGTTTCTTTTTTAGTTTATGGTAAGTCTAGGAGAGATGCCATGCTTATGAAAAAGTTATTTTACATATAATGTTACTTGATTGAAACTTATTTTCTTGACGGTATTTAGAAATTAGCTTTGTTTTATTCATTAAGCAGCTCTTTTGCATTTTTATAGAGTAAAATTATTTTTTCATACAAATTAATCTTTTTGTGTGTGTGTGTATGTTGTTGTAGGCATTAGTTGCAATCATTTCTTTTGTTGTGTTGTTGTAATTCTTTAGGATTGACTGTTTTAACTCTGGTGTTTATTTAAATTTTTTTTTGTTTCCATCATGTTTTGAAAGTGTAGTCCTATTGAAAAGTTTTTTATTTTTAAATTATTGTTTATGGTTTGCCTACTTTTTTTTCCACATGCCTTCTGACAAACGAATCTATGCTTTACTGGGTGTATTTGGAGAAGATGTTGTGCATTTGTTAATTAGATATGTTTTTTTTTTCTTTTCGCAACCACGTTCCAAAATACTTTTAAAAAGAAAAAGCTCAGTCAATTATTAAACGAAATATTTTTTCCGTTGTTAAAAATTTTAAATTTAAAGTAATTTTGTCAGAACTAAATTCTACTTATTTTGATTGTTCATAATTATTATAAGCATTGAAGACAATTTTTTCTACATTCACTGGATTCAATACTAATTGGTTTATCTACGAATATAGATGTGTGATTTTGAATTAAAAAAGCTTGTTATCTAAAAACCTCATTTAACTTTATTTTGTGTTTGATTTTAGTATGTGCACTAATGTTAAACTATTTTCTTATATAAATAAAATAATTTCTTTCAAATTAGATTAATTAAGTTTAAAAGAATAATTTTCAATTTTAAATTAAATTAAAAATTTTTATTTTTATTTTAATAAGATATAAAAATGTTTTTTATACAAATGGCAACATTTCTAGAGCTTATCTATTTTATTTTAATAATACTGGTTTGAAAACATTGACTAGTATTTTTTTTTTTTTTTTAATGGGTTTTTTTGTATTTTTTATGTTAAGCTTACTAAAATGTTCTATTTCTAATTTAGTAAACCTAATTTTAGATTTTGTATAATAAGAAAAATACATTTGTCATAAAGACATTTTTCTTTTCTATTTTATTTAATAGACCAGTATTCCGTTATCAGAACAGCATAACATTTTAAAAGAATTCAATGATATTACAGATATATCAAAGACTTTGAGAGCAGTCGAAACTGCTATTGGTATTCTAGCATCTACAGGAGGTGATCCTAATATGTTATATAAAAAGTATTTATTGGACATACTTAGAATGGACGAATGTGAATATTTGGCAAATAAAAAAGTAAGTATTTTGTATGTTTTTATGCCTCTAAAGAGATTTATTTGTAATTCAAAAATTTGTCTTTTCAGATGCAAAATTTTATTCGGCTAACTCATTTGCATTCTGTATGGCTTTTATTAACAACAGAGCGAGCCCGTTACATATATACAAGCAAGCAGGTATTTAAAAAAATTATAAGTTAGTTGGTTTTACACTGATTAACATGTCATATAAAAAATAAATATATTTTATACCAGCAAGTTCCGTTTCAAATTAAAGAATTTTTTATGGCTGAAGATCTCGATGATAAAATATTGAAAGACCAAAAAATAAAGTTTTCTCAGGCTAATATTATTGAGTTACTTTCTCTTGTCACAGAGTATGTTGTTTTGGAGCTACCATTAAGAAAGGAATCAGATTGTACCATGATGTAAGGAGAATGTTTTTGTTTTGTTATACAATTATAGCAATTATGTTATGCATTTTTTATAAATTTTGTATTTTTTTTCAATCTTAATTTTATTTTTTTGTTTATTCCTTGGAATAATGTTTAAAATAATATAGAGTAAGTTTGAAGTTAGTGAAAAAGTAATTAGTTTTCAATTCGTACGAAACCATCTTGAATTAAAAAATGTTTAAAATTGTAAACAATAAGTGTATTTTGAAATATTCAAGAATTCAGAATAGACTCTGTTAAGATTTCTAATTAATTCTATTTGTTTTGAGTTAAATCATTTTATTATAAATAGTTTAACTCAAATAATAGTTTAACTTTATTTCCATTCAAAAAAAGGTTACTTTTAGAAGAATTTTTCTTTAGGTTAATGGAGGCTCTTCAAATTTACGATAACCAATTAAGTTGCATTGATCGGATAAACGAAGAATTTCTATTGAAACATATTTATTTGTTTTGGACAATGATAGTATCTCTTGTGTAGAAGTTCTACATTTGAATTTTATCTAAGTTTTTTTTTAATCTATTTTTAATTTTTTTTTCAATATTGAATCTTACATTTTTGGTTTTATTTTTTATTCAGTTGTATAAAATTTGGAGGTTTTAAATAAGTTCAATTCTTTATTTAAATAAATGTTTTTAATTTAAAAATCATGTTTTTTTTATTTAAGATTTAAAATTGTATGCTAAGACTTTACTAGTGTAAGAATATTCAATAAAAGAATAAGCATTCAATATGAATTTAAAACAAAGAAATAGTTTAAGGAGGTTTTAAAAAAGATTTAACTGGTTTAAAGAAAAGTGGTTAAGTGCTTTAATGAAAATATCGGTCTACTTTTCCGTTATTTTTTTTTATTTTGGCTGACAAATCTGTCTTGTGACAAATCGTCTTGCTGGTTCGACAAAGTTCTAACTGAAGTTTTTAATGTTGGGAGAGTTCAGAATGTCATATTATCAAAAACAAAATGTCAAGTGTCCAGAAAAGAAAATATTTTGGTGTTCTTTTGTTTTGGTGTTGCTACTGCTGGACCAGTAGCATTTTACCCAGTTACTAGCATGATGAATTCTGACACTTACATTGAGGTTCTGCAAACAAGTTTAATTTGTTAAAAGCGTTTCCAAATGGAAATGGAATGTTGCAGCATGATTTAGCCGTACGCCATGCATCCAAAAAAGTCAAAAAATTCATGTTAAAAAATAACATCAATCAATTTGAGAACTTCTGGGCAATTGTGAACTTCTGGGCAATTGACAAAAAAGAGACTGAAAAAATGACTGTGCAATTAAAACTAAGCTTAACGCCTCTATCTTTTAGATTTGGTTTGAAGATCCAGAAATCTAAAATATTTTGTAAAAGTTTGGCAGATTCTATGCCAAGTCATACAGCACTAGGAGGACACACAAAATGTTGGTGTCCAAGTATTAGCTATATATATATATATATATATATATATATATATATATATATATATATATATATATATATATATATATATATATATATACATATATATATATATATATATATATATATATATATATATATATATATATATATATATATATATATATATATATATATATTTATATATATATATATATATATATATATATATATATATATATATATATATATATATATATATATATATATATATATATATATATATATATATATATATATATATATATATATATATATATATATATATATATATAGTATTTATATAACAATAATATGGCTTGGGGATAAGTCTTAATTTTCGACTAGTTTTGTTAGGTTGTTAATTTCAAACATTGCAAAATTTTATTTTAAGTCTAGTAATCTCGTTTTGAATTTTTAAAGTACCAATAAACAATTTCTTAAAAATCGCAACTGTTTTAAGAAGCCAATAAAGTTTCGCTAAATCGTTTACATGCATTTAAACTTTGCAAATCTTTTTTGTATTTAAATTTCTTGTTTGTATTTTAAAATTGGTTTTAAAGTTAAATTCATTTAAAAGTAGATTCAAAAATAAAACTGCAATTTAAAGAAATCGTTTAATACCAAAGGTAAATATTTATGATTATTATATCTAGAATAATGTTTTAACCTGTTTGTATTACATAAGTTTTGATTTGCAATTTCTGAAGTAGATTAAAATATAAAACTTTTCGATGGAACTAATGGTTTTACTTAATTTAGTCGGAGGAACTTATGGTTTTACTCAATTCCTGAGTTTCCTGAATTCATGGCTCCCAAATTTATTCAAAAGAGTTTTATTTCTTTATTTTTTATCAAAGCAGGTTTTTAATAGTAAGTTTTGATATTTTAGGGTTTTTTGGTGCTTTGGCCCCCACTAAAAACTCACGCCGTTGCCCATTATTCTAAGTGTTATACTTTAATACAGTTTACATATATAATTAATCTACAAAAATGCCGAAAGTAAAGGCTGCAATTACACGGATGAAAAGTGAAGAAAAATATTTTGGCGGCCCATGTGAACTATCAATGACAGATCCAAGCACTTTTAGACATGTTATTGAGTATTATTACTATCTTATTCATATAAATCCAAATGCAGATATCGTATTAGTGACTCAGCAAATTAGCAATAATATAAAATCAATTTGGGCTACAGTAAACCCAAGATTACCTCTTATAAGTGACAAATCTATTATTAGGAAAGTTAAAGATCTTCTCGTGCTTGTTAAGGATATTGGAAGTAAATTTTAAAAAAATTCCAGAAATTAATTTTAATGCTAATCATTGGTATGAGTTGGTAGACATCAGCATTACTAAATTTACGGAGTCCCCAACAACACAACATTTTTCAATTGAGCAAATCCAATATACGATTGACAATAATTTTAAACCTGAAATCCCCAACTTTCCATCTCACTCCCAGAGTGTTGAGCGAGCGGTAAAACTTGTGTCGGACGCATCCCAATATGGACTTGAGAATCGACACAGCTGCATTTTAACTAAACTACTTAGCAGGAAGATGCGTAAACCATATATTTCAAAAGGGCATTATTTCCATTCTTATGATGATATTTTTTAATTGAAAATGTTATCCTAAAAATATATATTCATGGTCAAAATGTTTTAAATTGTGAAAATAATGTTTATTTTGATATTCTTATGTAAATATAAGAATAAAATCGACCTACCCTAATATATATATATATATATATATATATATATATATATATATATATATATATATATATATATATATATATATATATATATATATATATATATATATATAACAATTTTTTTTTAACTTTTAAAGTTATTAAAGTTAGTAAACATAACGGGTAATTACTCTTTATATCAGGTCTTCTAACATAACGCCAGGTTTCGTGTTTTATAACGTAATTACCGTTATGTTCAATGTATAACTCGTAATTACCGTTATGTTCAATGTATAGTTCGTAAGAAAAAATCATAACGTCAAATACCGTTATGTTTTTTTCAAACGAATTATGTTGAACACAACGGGAATTACCCGTTATGTTCAACACGAAACTTAGATTTATGTCCGTTAAAAATATAACGGTTTTTTTTCACCGTGTCAAAAACTGTTTTGTTATAATAAACACATTACAAATGAATCAGATATTTAACATGAACTTATCAAACGCTTTGTAAATCTTGGTCCCAGTCTAGCTGTAAAAATAGTAACGCCAAATAAGAAGTTTGATGAATTTATTAAAGAAAAACTCCTATCAATATTCTATAAAGAATTTAACAAAGCACTGTCTGAACTAAAGCGAAATAAGTTGTGCACAAAGCATCATCTATGGTATCTTCATTAATGTATGTTGATGAACAACTTTGTTTTATAATCATAGTAATTTAAAATCAACGTTGCTAAATTCGATGTTTGGAATAATGAATACAAAACTGGAAAACTTTAATTTATGGTTTAGAGCGAATAAACTATCCTTAAACTGTGAAAAAACTAACAAAATTATTTCATAAAATAGGTCAACCAATGTCTCTACCGTTAAAAATTCCAGAGTTGCTCATCAACAATTTAAAAATAAAACAGGAAAAATATGCAACTTTTCTTGGTGTTCAAATATTTGAACACCAAGAAAAGTGTAAATTTGCAAATGAATAAATTTGCATCTATTTAAATAGATGCAAATTTATTATGGGGAAATCATATTGGGCACATTGAACCCAAAATATCATCTGCAATAGGTATTTTATACAAATCACCCCATTTCTTGATTTCTATTCAAGAAAAAAACTTTTTTTAGTTTAATTCATAGTCACCTCACATATACTAATATAGTGTGGGCTAATAAACACAAAGCAAAATTAATTAAAATACAAGACTTGCAAAACCAAGCTTAAAAAGCAATTCATTATCTAAGTAGAATGAACAATCTTTCTAATGCAATGACAAACATAAAAGTCTTAAACTTGGAAAAACTTAATTTATGTCAGATTTTTTATTTTTATGTTCAGATATAAAAATAATATGCTACCAAATTCTTTTTTAGACATTTTTTTGTCATATTTTCTCAAAGTTATAATTTAAGATCAAATAGTTTCCATTATATTAAAAAAAACTAAAAACTGGTATTCTGAATTTTCAAAAATGTCACAAGGCCCTAAAACATGGAAAAACTTGAAAAATCAAAAATTAAAAGACTTTAATGGGATATCGTCATTTATCGTCACCAAGCAAAGCTGGATATTCTTTATTTTTTACGATAATAAATGTATTTTTATGGTATACCTGAAGAGGAAAAACTAAATAAATAGAAGATGAAATAATTTTAGCAATCAGAAATTATCAAGAGAGATTTTTTTTTTCTTTTTTTTTTTCTTTTTTTTTCTTCTAAAATCATATTAAATATAACCAAATTGTTTTATACTCCTAATACCTTATGATGCCATCTAACAATATTCAGTTTGGTTCTCTTTCTGACCTTAAGCTTAACCAAACATTATTGGACAAGAATTCTAATTTACAATATTCTCTTGATACTACATCAAGTTTAGGAAATTGAATTTTAGATCTAAATAATCCCCAAGATTCAATTAATTGTAAATACTATGATATCATAGATTTCAATAAAAAAATTAATTCTAATTCAGATCTTTATATTCATCTCAACGTTGCTTCTTTACCATATCACATTGATGATCTCAGCAGCCTTATTAGCACTTTGAATACATTACCTGTGACAATAGGTGTTACTGAGTCAAATTTGTATGTAAATGATACAAATACAACAAGCATATCTATAAATGGTTTTAACATTGAGCATTGCCCCACTGATGCTAAAAAGGGGGTGCTCTTCTATATCTAAATTCTAATTTAAACTACATAGTTCGCAACGACCTAAAGATCTACTCTTCCAAATGTCTTGAATCCATTTTTGTTGAAACTATAAAGCCTCACTTAAAAAATATAATAATTGGTTGCATATATCGACATCCATCTATGAATCAAGACGATTTCACTAATAATTATTTAACTCCACTATTAGATAAGTTAAATATTGAAAAAAAAATATTTTTCTTATGGGGGATTTTAATATGGATATACTAAAATATAATGAATCAAATCCTATTTCTAACTACCTTGACTTGCTTATTTCTTTTTCATTACAT